CTTGGACACCATCCACGGCGATGGATTGAAGAAAGAAGGTGGTAGGCCGGAAAAGCCTGTGGCTGGATTCCTGACACAGCTCTGCTTAGAAAACCTCATGGAGTAATCAGGTAAAATGGCGTCTGGATGACCCGGAAGTGGAAATCATTCTGATGCTGACCTCAAGCGATATGAGTCAGGTAAGGGGTGTCCCTTATATAGGGGAGTGAATTAATTTAGGCCCCTCCCACAAATACAGGCCAAACGGCCTTAATACATATATATATATATATATATATATATATATATATATAAATTTTATACCTTGTTGGAAGTGCACTCACAGGACTTGATAATGTTGCCAAAAATTTGCCATTTATTCAAGCTTCAAAAGTTGATTACACAGTGTCGACATTTCAGTCCAATAGTTAATAAATGTTAAATTTTTATTTAACGATTATATATATAAATATATATATATAAAAATATAATATGTGTGTGTGTGTGTATATATATATATATATATATATATATCTTATATATAACATCATACTAAGTGTATTTGTTTATCAATATCTACATATATTAATATAAAAATACACTTAGAGTAAAATTACACATGTATATATATTTTAAAAAATAAATAAATATTAAAAATAAATGAAAAATAAATAAATATTTTTGTAAAAATTATCACATCGCCGCAATAGGAGTCTAGGAGTTGCCAGAAGGGGGACTGACTGAGCTGTCAAAATAAAATAAATATATTATACATATATAGCATTTTATAATATATTATACATATATAATGCATATATATGATTTCATTATAGGTGTACTTTGATATATATATATATATATATATATATATACACACACACATACACATATTATATGTATATGTGTGTGTGAGTATGTGTATATATATATATATATACACACACGTTTTTATATATATATATATATACATATATATATATATATATAAATATATATGTACATTGAAAACATTTTTTATAAAAAAAACTATTAAAAACGCTCATTTTGGCCAGCGGTTGTGACTAAGTGGCTACTACAAAAGACTGGAAATACCCTGGGTTATCCACATTTGAAAATGGTATGCCATAATAGGGTTATTTCACATTCCTGGGGGCCCCGGTGCAAAACTGATCCGTGGGCCCCACCCTCCCCTCCCCTTCCCCCCTCTACCCTGACCTTCTCCCCCCTGACCGTGCCCCCCCAACACATACATACAGACACAAACACACACACCCGACAGACACATACATATACAGGGAGTGCAGAATTATTAGGCAAATGAGTATTTTGACCACATCATCCTCTTTATGCATGTTGTCTTACTCCAAGCTGTATAGGCTCGAAAGCCTACTACCAATTAAGCATATTAGGTGATGTGCATCTCTGTAATGAGAAGGGGTGTGGTCTAATGACATCAACACCCTATATCAGGTGTGCATAATTATTAGGCAACTTCCTTTCCTTTGGCAAAATGGGTCAAAAGAAGGACGTGACAGGCTCAGAAAAGTCAAAAATAGTGAGATATCTTGCAGAGGGATGCAGCACTCTTAAAATTGCAAAGCTTCTGAAGCTTGATCATCGAACAATCAAGCGTTTCATTCAAAATAGTCAACAGGGTCGCAAGAAGCGTGTGGAAAAACCAAGGCGCAAAATAACTGCCCATGAACTGAGAAAAGTCAAGCGTGCAGCTGCCACGATGCCACTTGCCACCAGTTTGGCCATATTTCAGAGCTGCAACATCACTGAAGTGCCAAAAAGCACAAGGTGTGCAATACTCAGAGACATGGCCAAGGTAAGAAAGGCTGAAAGACGACCACCACTGAACAAGACACACAAGCTGAAACGTCAAGACTGGGCCAAGAAATATCTCAAGACTGATTTTTCTAAGGTTTTATTGACTGATGAAATGAGAGTGAGTCTTGATGGGCCAGATGGATGGGCCCGTGGCTGGATTGGTAAAGGGCAGAGAGCTCCAATCCGACTCAGACACCAGCAAGGTGGAGGTGGAGTACTGGTTTGGGCTGGTATCATCAAAGATGAGCTTGTGGGGCCTTTTCGGGTTGAGGATGGAGTCAAGCTCAACTCCCAGTCCTACTGCCAGTTCCCGGAAGACACCTTCTTCAAGCAGTGGTACAGGAAGAAGTCTGCATCCTTCAAGAAAACATGATTTTCATGCAGGACAATGCTCCATCACACGCGTCCAAGTACTCCACAGCGTGGCTGGCAAGAAAGGGTATAAAAGAAGAAAATCTAATGACATGGCCTCCTTGTTCACCTGATCTGAACCCCATTGAGAACCTGTGGTCCATCATCAAATGTGAGATTTACAAGGAGGGAAAACAGTACACCTCTCTGAACAGTGTCTGGGAGGCTGTGGCTGCTGCTGCACGCAATGTTGATGGTGAACAGATCAAAACACTGACAGAATCCATGGATGGCAGGCTTTTGAGTGTCCTTGCAAAGAAAGGTGGCTATATTGGTCACTGATTTGTTTTTGTTTTGTTTTGAATGTCAGAAATGTATATTTGTGAATGTTGAGATGTTATATTGGTTTCACTGGTAATAATAAATAATTGAAATGGGTATATATTTGTTTTTTGTTAAGTTGCCTAATAATTATGCACAGTAATAGTCACCTGCACACACAGATATCCCCCTAACATAGCTATAACTAAAAACAAACTAAAAACTACTTCCAAAAATATTCAGCTTTGATATTAATGAGTTTTTGGGTTCATTGAGAACATGGTTGTTGTTCAATAATAAAATTAATCCTCAAAAATACAACTTGCCTAATAATTCTGCACTCCCTGTACATATGCAGACACATACATACAGAGACACACACATACAGACACATACATACAGAGACACACACATACATACAGAAACACACATACATACACACAGAGACACACACACAAACATACAGACACACATACAGATACACACACATGCAGAGACACAGACACACACATACATACAGATACACACACACATACAGAAATAAACACACACACACATACATACACACACACACATACAGAGACACAGACACATACATACATACACACATACAGAGACACACACATACACAAAATGTTTCCTACCTTTTGTGAATTTCCCTGGGGTCCAGTGGTGGCTCAGCCTGATGGGAGTCAGAGTTCCCACTCTGACTCCCTCCTCCTTCCTCCCACGCGGGCTCTAATACCAGGGAGGAGTGACCGGGGAGTCACATGCAGACACATACATACAGAGACACACACATACAGACACATCATACAGAGACACACACACACATACACATACAGAGACACACACATACATACACACATACAGAGACACACATACATACACACATACAGAGACACACAGTGACACACACACAAACATACAGACACACATACAGATATACACACACACATGCAGATACACACACATATATATAGATACACACACACACATACAGAGACACAGACACACACATACAGAGATACACACACACATACAGAGACACACACATACACAAAATGTTTTCTACCTTTTGTGAATTTCCCTGGGGTCCAGTGGTGGCTCAGCCTGATGGGAGTCAGAGTTCCTACTCTGACTCCCTCCTCCTTCCTCCCGCGCGGGCTCTAATACCAGGGTGGAGTGACCGGGGAGTCTCTTCCTCCCAGCAGTGATGTAATCGCAGGGGGCCCGGTCGCGCTGTTAAAGCACCCAGCGCTGACCGGGCCCCCTGACAATCCATGTCCATCGGGTTGCCCTGACAGAATGGGCCACCCAATGGACCCCTTAACATGCGGCCCCGGTGGTTTCCCGCACAGGCCGGGGCCGCAAAACATGGCAGCTGGTACCTGGTCGCGGGAGTCCGCAGGGCGGCCGGGCCCCCTGGAGTGACGGGCCCAGGTCGCAGCTGCGACCCCTGCGACCGCGGTATGTACGCCGCTGACCATATGGTCTCAAAAGGCAACACAGACCCAGCAAACCAATCGGCAAACTGAATTGGGCAAGCCCTATATTGACCCTGTATCTTTCCAAAACACCATAAAACCTGTACATTGGGGGTATTGTTATACTCTGGAGACTGCGCTCAACAAAAAAATGAGTGTTTAAAACAGTAAAACTTATCACAACAATTAAATCACCAGTAAAAGTGCAGTTTTTGTGTAAAAAAAAAATGCAAAAAACTAATATGAATGCTAACTTTGGCAAGCGTTTGTGGCTAAGTGGCTACTACAAAAGACTAAAAGACTGGACATACCCCATTTTGAAAGCGTTGGGTTGTCTACTTTTACAAATGGTTCGCCACAATGGGGTTAATTTTCATTACTGGGCAGCTATACGGTCTCAAAGGCAACATGAGCCCAGCAAACCAATCTGGCAAATTTCAATGTGCAAACATGGAAAAGGGAAAAGCCCTACATTTGACCCCTGTAAGTTGTCAAAAACCCATAAAACCTGTACATCAGGGGCACTGTTGTACTCGGGAGATGTTGCTAAACACATATTGGGGTGTTCTTTGTCAGTAACACATAACAGGAACTTAGAATCCATGCCTAAACTACAATGTGAGAGAAAATTAACACAAAAAATTACTACCCCAAAGTTTGACAAAGACTGGTGGTAGAATTAGTGCATGGAAAGTGTTAAAATACCACCATTTGAAATACCCTAGGGTGTCTACTTAAATAAATAAAATACATTGTCCGGCATCAAAAATATCCCAAATAGGACATGGGTGCATGATGACCAGCTGTGAAACTTCCATGTTGGAAAACTGGAATGTGCACCCTCCAAATAAGGTCTTTTATCCCCAGAGAACCCGACACACCTATACATGGGTGATATCACTGTACTCGGGAGGTGTTGCTGAACACATACTGGGGTGTTCTTTGGCAGTAACCCTTAAAGTTCTCCGTACATGTATTCTTAAATTGCTATGTGTGACAAAAAAAAAATCACCATTTTTAAAAAAAAATTTTTTTTTAAAGTTTGGCATAGATTGGTGGTAAAATGGTTGCATGAAGGGGGCGGAGCTTGCAAGCCTGATGAACGGATGCTATTTCTAACAGCTCCCAAAAAAATCTACAATATCAAACCGAATATCGTGAAAACTAAGACCCATCCGACTTACTTAACTCTCCAGCTGGTCTCCCCGAGCCGCAACACATCGATAGATGCCTTTCTCTCACACGCTAAAACACTCCAAACCGCGGTGCAAATCTGCGGCCTACTGCACACCGTTGAGCCTGGGACTGGAGGCACTCCTCCACGGCAACATCACACAGCCTCTGCTGGGAATGGAGCCTACAGTCTCCCTGACACCGCCGGACCCCCGGCCCGCTATGGGACAGTATTCCAATATGATAACGACCCCAAACACACCTCCAGGACGACCACTGCCTTGTTAAAGAAGCTGAAGGTAAAGGTGATGGACTGGCCAAGCATGTCTCCAGATCTAAACCCTATTGAGCATCTGTGGGGCATCCTCAAACGGAAGGTGGGGTGGGGGAGCGCAAGGTCTCTAACATCCATTAGCTTCGTGATGTCATCATGGAGGAGTGAAAGAGGACTCCAGTGGCAACCTGTGAAGCTCTGGTGAACTCCATGCCCATGAGGGTTAAGGCCTTACAAGGAGCGCACAAAATACCCACGGGGAAAACAGAAGAAAGTCTGTTACCTGTGTTCTATCAAATACCTCCTTTGAAAAACTGCAATTTAAAAAGCCCAAATTTTGCAAATCAGAGTAGTCAAAGGGAAATTGTCTTGCCAACCCTCTCTTGAGAACCAGACTAATGCAAATTGCCTCCGTATTGGCACAGGCAAGTTTGATTTAGATTAGTTATTAAACTTTTGTCCCTTCAGTTTTGCCCCTTCTGTTCTTTTGTTCTGCTTAAGGAAAATTCAAGTACCATGAATTAAGTGAGCAACTACTGTGGGTAATTAATTGCCTTAATTTAGACCACCTATAAGCTATAAATACTGCCTGGCTGCGTGGTAAAATGCCAATATGCAGTGTGTTAAATTAATTGTGCTCAATTATTAGAAGACTGATTTGACATTCTTGTTAGTATTATATGTCGTTCAGCACAATACAAGATCATCTGACCGAGCTGGCAACCTTAAATATTTCTAATATAAGATTATTCCTTTCAGTAGCCTAGAAATGACAGTCAATGGAATAGAATCTGCTATTGATTGATGTGAGCTTCTCGCCATAGTGCAAGTAGTTAATGTGTGTTTATAAATCATATTCTAACAGTTATGTGCAATGCCACCAGATGTCAGTATTTTACAATAATATCCGCTTAAATTACAAGGCATTTAGGAGAATAATGCAATACTATTGATTCCGAATTAGTGTGCAGTAAAACTGAATATTCTTGTAGTAGAAGAAAAAAAATATATAATCCCCAAATTTGCATGGTTTGCGCATTCATGGTAGCTACATAAAGAGATCCAGTTCTGTCTAAATACGTGTAATGAGATGCGGAAACACACCAAACTGCAAGCTATTTAAAGCTACATTGCTCTTTTACTGCTTCCCCCCTAAGGGCAATCTATTAACAACAAACATGGGAAATTCACAAACAGGTTTTCTGTGCTATGCGCCCTTCATCAGGTCTTAGAAAAAAAAAAAAAAAAGAATATGTATCAAATGCGTGTATTAGCATACAAATTGTCTAAAACTGTTTTGTTTATAGGCCATGATAAAATTAAGGCTTCCATTTAAATATAGGCCATTGTGACAGTTTGATCCATTCTATCTGGGTCTATCGAATATATCAGATCCTAATATAATATAAAAAAGGTCAGAGCCTTTGAAGATGCCATACATATATATATATATTATAAATCGTATTTAATGCTGTTGTCCAAGATTTGTTTAAATCTCCCTATATCATACCTCCAGAGTATGATTTAGTTATAGCTCAATATATCATACCTTTAGAGTGTCCCTATTTAGTAGTGACAGTCCCTATTTCGTCTCAAATTCCTCTAACCCTCTTTTCTAAGCTACAGTCCCTCTTTCCATATTTTTGGTGTGTCTGTGTGTATAACAGAGCAACACTGCAATAATACTCAGAGTAATGTGTCTTTAAACTACAAGAAGTACATTTAGAAATCAGATACATTTTTCTTGTTCTAAATGACATTTTTTTTTGCGTAGCTTATTAGTAAGTCACCTATATGTTCTCAAAACAGCCTTGCCCCTGGCCACACCACCATTCACACCATAAAACGTGTCCTTCATAGTTCATTTGAAATGTTGGGAGGTATGCTATTCCGGTCCTGTAGTGATTTTGCTTTGTTTCTTAAAGACAGAAAAGGCAAAAAAAAGATACATTTACACAAACATGGGTCAAGGAAGATGTAGCGGACCCTGGGTAACCCGGCTGGTTAGCTCCACTATTAATAAAAGAAAAGATCCATTTCCCTCCCAGTAACTGGACGACACACAGTTCCAGGGGTACAACAACAACTTTATTGGCCACATGTGGCTTTATACTTTCCCATGCAAGGGGTAGAATACACATGAAGACATGTCCCCTCCCAGTTTCCTCCCCCACCCGAGAGTCCTATAATGGAACCGGAACCCCAGTCCCTTTGTCCCCTGTTCCCATCACTAAGTGTCCCCTCCCAGGGCCCTCCCTCTCCCAGGGGTCTTCTTCCCAGAGATCTCTGTATCTGGGGGGTCGTAGCGTGGAAAACTTCCTGCCTCTTTACTTCCGAGCAACAGGGAGCCCGCCAACCTCCGCCATTGTCCCCACAGGATGTTCGCACCAATCTCAGGCACCACCAGAATGGTAACCGCCAAGAACAGTCTTCATTCGAGGGGTCCCTGTGTGAAGCCGGCAATGGAAGAGTCTCTTTCGGGATGTGAATGCTCCCCCTGGCCGGCATTCGTCTGTACGAACGGCGGCCACCCAGAGCAGCACTCATTAATTACTTCCCTTGCAGCTTCCCACTATGTTGCGAGTTGCCAGCGTTCCAATGGATTGGTGTGAACATTTCAATGGGTGCCTTGGAGACCCGCAAATGCTCCCCCTGGATGGTGTTCGTCCCTTGCGGTTTGTGGTTTTGACACCTCCTTACAAGGTGATAACATTCTAAAACCACATTCTAAATGAAATTTCGTGGTGATCTCCATTCGGGAGGTGAATCGAGTCCCGTTCGTGGCGGTACTCCTGAACAGGGAGCAGGCAGTTCTACAATTCTACAAAACACAAGGAACGAAACACAGGGTAAAGTTAGGGGAAACACATGAAAGGGATGTCAGTACAGTAACGCACATTGTAGGGTAACTGGGGCAATTCGAAGTTAAGTAGGGGTTCCACTAAAGGGGTTTATTGCTGAAAAATGTCACAAGTTAGTCCCGATAGTAGGGCCATTGAGGGCCAATGTGTCCTTTGAAATCACCACAAATGATAATGTTGTTTTAGCATAAAGCAGCAACATAAGAGGTGAGGAGAAACAGAAATCATGGGGAGATTGATCAAAGTACCTGTTTTAAAAGATTTAAAAAGGGAGGAGTCACCAGTGGAATGTGCCTGCTGATTCCACTGGTTCCCACAGTGATTTCCCCACTTATAGTACTCTAGAACACTTTTAGAGCAGAACACATTGTATTGTAGAAACTGAAACAACATTTATCCTTGAGTGCCCTGGTTATGCCACAAATTAACTGGACTATAATGTTCATTGTTAAATCTTTAATACACATTTAGAAAAAAACAGAGCATCAAAATAATATATAGCACATATCATAGATGATTATAACTGTTATTTTCAATGGTAATTGAATAATTGAAAGATCTCCTTTAAATGAGAACTGGATTGTTGGCCTGGTGTGACATTGCTGAAAATGAACTCTGTCGTTTTAAAAATCTTCACCAATCAATATTTCATTGAAGGTAAGCTTTACATATCTACAAATAGCAACAGGATGCAGGACGCAAAACAAACAAAAAAAAGAGTCCATAGAATCTTCAAGGATGGAAGGGAGACTCAGGTCACATGGCCAAAATGGGGCGCAAGAAGGAAATGTAATTAATATAGGGCACACCAGAGCATTGGGATGGACACAGGCACAAACCATATGGCACAGTGGGCAGTGAAGCCAGAAGAGAGTATTGGGGAGTCCATTAGGAGGGCCATTATGAGTAACAAAGAGCCCAGAACCTTCTTTGCTTTGGAACACTAGAAGAGCACAGACAAAGGCTCACAGGTGAAAGAGGGGCACAGTTGGAACATTAAAGATACATATAGACCAGGGGTTCCTAAAAGGAAGATTCCCAGATGTAGAACTACAACTTCCATGATGCTTTGCGTGTCTTTGGATGCCTTTAGAATGACAAGGTATCATGGAAGTAGTAGTTTTAAACATCTGGGGATCTACCTTTTGGGCACCCCTGATATAGAATAATTAGAAGGAAAAGTGCCTTAGGGGGGACTTATAGAGCAATGATAGAGCCCATGGACAAAAAAGCAACAAAGGAAACATAAGTCAAGGAATCAACATACATGATAGAGGAGATTATCGCAGGAACAGATGGGGCAAAAAAGGTATCGAGGGGAGGGGGGACAATGTGAACAAATATTATCATGTCGGGAGGAATCTCAAGAAAAGGGGAAGGTAGGAAAATAAAACCAACAAGTAATCTATCCATTATGCCATCTAAGAAAGTTGATGAGTGGTTAGCTGACACTATAGGAGTGATATTGTGTAGGCAGTTTTATTCATTTACAAATCATGGACTTTTTTTTTTTTTTTTAACACATCAACAACCAAAAAGTAACAGATTGATGCAAAAATGTGTCAGCTTATGAAAATCTATTAAATATAATTATTTAGAACATAGAACGCATAGCTAGGCTGTTTTACAAAAACATTCTGTACACTTTGTTACAGTAACCAACAATAGTAGCGGTTGCACAAATATAGGATAGTGACTGAAAAAAATGTGCACGTTTGCTCACTTTGAGTGACAGCGCTAAAATAAACAAGATTTAATTTTTCATCAAGTGAATCTTTTTCATCTGGCCCTTCTGGTCCCTGGACCCCATTGATTTACACTGCCTTCACCAATAGCAAGACCTGCTACTGCCAAAAAGATTGATGTTCGCTCCACTCACACACTTTTAGCAGAACGGAAACTTAATACATTACAGTGGTTACACTGATACAATAATGGATCGATAGACTCTAGCATAGGTCTATATACCATCTCTAATTCTCTGGTGTGTACCTGCTGACATGCTATTATTTACTCAACAATTAACAGTTTGGTAGATGATATTATATGTTTTTATTGGCAGCTACTAGCGCCAGATTTGGAGAGTAATAATAGCAATTAATATCAATATCAATTTGTCTGAGGATTCTCTGCTATTGTGTTGATTTTAGATTTTTTTTTTAGATGATAAAATGGTTGTCATCACACTGGAAAATAGTAATATAGTTATTTTCACATAAACAGTTTCATTTTGTTATTATTAATTCAATAAGAAAAAACACAACACACATACGTACATTAAAGGGCACATTCAGTTAGACTTATTCAAGGATCAAAATTTCAAATGATCCACTAATCATTGCTTCTCTCCCCCTAGACATAGGAACAGGGATCTTACTCTCACCAGCATTTCCTCATGCTTTTATTTCCTGTCCATCTGTTTTGTCTGTATGTTGTGTTTTTTCTGTGTAGTTTCTATGTGCATAGAAGCAGGGGTTACGCTGTTTATAAGACAGACAGATAGATGAAAACAATTCAGGTCGGCTGAACCATTGACCTCCAAGTTGACAGT